CTTGAGGTATTGTCTGCATCCTTTACATATACCTGTTAGTACTTCCACTTCTCCTAATGCTACTGCTTGTGGCACTGAATCCATTTTTCTCTCAGTTACCTGATAATTGGTGGAACTGTGCTGTAAATTATGTAATGTTGACTCTCAATTTTTGAAATTACTCTAGTCATCATTTTTGTATTCAGCTGTCGCATGGTTCTATGTTAACTGTAAATCACAATGTTACAACCCTTGTATCTATGTTAGATTTATAAGAGTTTGTCCAAAGATGTAAATCACAAGGATCAACTTAGATAGCAAAATTCACTCTCTAATAAATAGTCTGGATTGGAAAATCTGCATTAGGTTACAGAGTTTGGAATGCACTGCATACTTTTAGGCAAGATAGTGATATTGTAATCAGGTGTCCATTTGTATACAATTTATATAAACTCTTTCAGCAGTTAGCTTCCATCCTTCTCTTTGTTTTTCTTTATTTATTAGTACTCTTGTATATCAGGTGCTTCTTCCCTGTCCTCTTTTTTCCTTTTTTGGCTGTTTTCTGCTTGTACAATTTTTTGCTACATTAATTTGGACCATTGATGTCTTGGACCATCTCGACCTTCAAAATCTCTTGTAGTACATTGAGGAGATGTTGCAAAAGGTGAAAGAGGAAGAGAGGCTCTACATAGCATGTGGATCTCCTGATTGTTCTTCTGCTTATGTGATTGTAGACAGCCAGTGTTCTGATCCGCATGATAAATTGCTCCATATTGATGAGAAACTCCAATGTGAAATTCCCTTGCAGGAACCTGTTCGTTTACTGGCACCAAGTTTGTGTGAAAGCCATTTGAATCAATCTGGGAGTGTTGGGGAGTGCTCTCATCCTCCAGATGAACTGGTAGCTGGTGAGTCACCTTTGTCTATTACTACAAAACCTGATTTTTCCAGATTGAAGGGGGAAATATGCCTAGATAATCTGTCAATAAAAGAACTTCATGAAACTTTTAAAGCAACATTTGGGCGAGAAACTACTGTCAAAGATAAGCAATGGCTTAAGAGGAGGATTTCCATGGGGTTGACAAATTCTTGTGATGTTTCAACAACTTCTTTTATAATTAAAGATAACAAATTTGTTAAGAAAGGGAATGAAGAAGGCTGTAATGGTATGTATGGTTCCTTTGCTAAGGATCCACCAATTGTCAACCAGAAAGGCTTACCAGCTTGCCATGTTGGCCAACTGGATTATCATAAAGTTGTTCCTGAAAGAAGATTGGAAAATCACAACTTAGATGACAATTCTGGAAGTGATGATCATCAAAAAGAACAGAGAGCTGCTAAAAGAGTACGGAAACCCACAAAACGATATATTGAAGAACTTTCAGAAGTGGAGTCCAAAGAGTCCAACGAAAGGTTATTGAATTTGGCTAAAAATTCTGGACATGACAGACTGATATCCCCAAAATCTCATGTTAGGCTTGTTAGAAATGTTTCTTCAGGAGGAAGAACTGTTATCACACGGCTGGATTCCCTTGGAGGATCTGGGATTCAGGTTCCATGTGTTTCTCGGGTCCGAAGAAGCCGTCCAAGGAAAAATTTCATGGCTCTTCTGGTATGTAAGCTATTGTTCCTGATCAACATGCATGTGAATAGATACTTACTTTTTTTAAAAAAAAATTGTTTTTGGTTTTCTGGATGCTGTCTCCAATAGATGATTGTTCTTGATTTTCTTTGTTTCCTGCTTGAACTACTCGCTGAATTTTATTTGAAGTATTATGTGGGTTTGCCTGCAATCAAAGCTTATATCTGTGGAGCTGGAGTTGTAATTTCTTTCTTCTTCTTTCCTTTCTTTTGTTGGATTGGGGTGTCAAAAACAATTTTTGACTTAGCAAAGCAGTTTTGATTTGACTGTTGGTGGCAGCTTCTAAGCGGAGCAAGTTTATGGGATCGGTGTCGAGCATGGTGTCAATGAGAATCTCTGTGCACACACACAACTGTGTGCATGATTTTTGGGTTGATACTGTTGTTACTTGTCAATCTGCTGTTACCTCTGTTTTCACTAATTTTATTTGTCTGTCGGTTTTATTTATTTATTTAACATGAATGCAACCGTGGTTTAATATGAATGACATTCTGTAGAAATTCAATCCAAGTAGCATGGGCATGGCAGCTGCAATGGTAGAGAAAGCCCTTGATGATCATGGTTTTCCACCAGATGATGGGAATGAGAACAGAGTCTTGAAAGCCAGATCTACCCCTGAACATGTTCATCACCAGGTAAGATCAATTAAATTCTGTCTTGTTAATTTTGTTAATAATTAAGTGTAACATAAGGTAGGAGTGGTATCCATTGGTGATATATAATGAGAAAAGGGATGAAGGGGTTTTATAATGCTCTTTAAGGCCTGTCGCTTTTGTCAATGGGGAGATGCGTGTCACTGCCTTCTGGACTTAAGAGGTGAGTGGGCATGAAAAGGGTGTGGATCTTGTCGCGGGGATTAATTTCAGGTTTTGCTAACTGAATTGGAACTAACATGAAACATAATAATCTTGGAATGCAGTTCTCTTGGTGCTATGTCAATATTTTAGATGGACAAATGTGGTCAGTCAAATGAGTGATATTCTGCTGGATTGTTTGTTGTTTAATCTGCTGTTGTTCTAGTGATTTTCTTTCATCCACGACAGCTGAAATCCATACTGGTTTTCTACATCGCAAGAGAAAGATTATGTAATAACTTTTATGTTTGTGGACTCATTCCATGATAAGATTATATTGCTGATTGATCAGTGTTTTATTACCCAGTTTGTAGGAGTGCCAGAGAAAGACAAGCAGTTCTCAGTGATGAGTGCGGTTGGCTTGGGAAATAACATGGATCTGAAATGCATGAATTCAAATGAGGATTCAGATGACAATGTAGTTACTGTTCCTACACCTAAAGGTGGAATTAGAAGGAAACATCATCGAGCTTGGACTCTCTCTGAGGTGATGAAGCTGGTTGAGGGTGTCTCTAGGTATGGAGCTGGAAGGTGGTCTGAGATCAAACGACTTGCATTTGCATCCTATTCATACCGCACCTCTGTTGATCTCAAGGTATCTCTGTAGTTATTTGGTCCATGTTTCTGTATTTCCATACAATTGCCTCTCCACCAAGAGTTCTAGTTGCCTTGCATCTAGTGTTTTATTTAGATGCAATTCTATGATTTTGACTGAAAGGATATAATTTTCAGGACAAGTGGAGGAATCTGCTGAAAGCCAGCTTTGCACAGACACCTCCAGATACTGGGGTAAGTAATTTCCCTTATTTTTTATTCTCTCTTCACCTATAGGACTCGTTGCTTGTTGATCCGCCCCTCCCATCCTCTTGAGAATCATGATTATTGACTTCATCTTTGAAAAAGAATGACAGTGTTATTGATCGCGTTTCTATGGACTCTTAACCCTTATGGTTTTCTATGGTTAACAATACAGATGAATTCCCGGAAAAATACCGGTGCAATGCCCATTCCCACACCAATTTTGTTAAAAGTTAGAGAGCTCGCAGAGAAGCAAGCACAGGTTCCGCCAAATCTTAGCTTGACCAAGGTGGCCGGGAGTGCTAGGAAAATTGTACATGAAAAACAAACGGGGTTCTTGTAGCACTGTATCTGCTAGATTTCAGCTGTATAAATTCAGATAACCCATGCCAATTGGGACACCACTGGGACTTCCTCTACCGTGTCTTTTATTGGTGGGGTTTGAGTAGCTACTAACTACTGCAGTCAGGATTTAGAAAATACCTTCGATTATAGACCCCAAAAAACAGAGTGAATTAGTTAAAAAAAGAAAAATAGTTAATCGTGTCATCTTTGGTCTCTGTAACTAGGGAGAAATGTTATCTTGTGAGCACAAATAAACACGGGGAAGTTTTATTCAGGACGTCCTGTTTACAAAAAAGCGTGGAATCTTCTCATCGGCAGAACGCAAATTCATCGGAAACTTTATTATACATTGGTACATGGAAAGCTGCATCTGATGCGTTGGCTTGTGTCGTGTCGTTGCGCCTGTTAATCTCCATTGTGTTGCAAATGGGAAAAGGGATGGGTAAAACCTAGCAGCGTCATAACATCTTAACATGTTTGAAATATAAGTTTTCAGAAGTTTTCAGGGTGGAATACTGTTTCCTGAAAATCTTAATTTTTTTTGTTTAAAATTAAAAATTTTTTAAATTGTTTTGAATTTTTTTTGTTTAAAATTAATATTTTTTAAATTGTTTTAATATGTTAATGTGTTTTTAAATAAAAAATATTCTTAAAAACAAAGCCATATATTATTGAATGGCACTTGTGGAAAGAAAATTACTTACAAACCCCTAGTAGAAAACATCCAAAAATCCAGGTGCGGTTGGGTTGGAAGTTTAAAAGAAGTCTTTACAAAATATCTACGTGAATGTATTATTTCAATATGACGTGCGAAAGCAGGTACAAATAAAAAATAAAAAATAAAATATAAAAATGTGTTTTTATTTACAGCATAGTTTTAAAATTTAGTCATTTGAAATTATAGCCAGGTTTGAGAAAAAATATAAAAAGTTTAAATATAGGATGGCTTGATAATCAGGTTAAAAAACTGAATATAATTTATTAATTTTTATTTTTTTATTAAAATAATATTATTTTAGTCTAAAAAATTAAAATTAATATAAATAATCGATCAAAACTTAAAATCTAGTCTTGAATTAAACAATCATCATACCGATTTAAAAACTTTGATTTATAAAAAAGTAAAATAATAATAATAAAAAAAAGGAATGGTGAATTTGTGTGGGTTTTGAATTAAGATCTTTTAAAATTTCTTGATATTTTTCTTTAGTTTTAAATTATTTTTTTTATGCATTATTAGATTATTTTAATATTATAATATGAAATATAAATTTTAAAAAATAAAAAAAATATTAAAAATTATTTTAAAAAACAATGGCATGCTCACAAACAGTCATCGAGGACTGGAAAGCTCTCTCTTTGTCATCCTATAAAGCCCTATCTGTTTCTTCTTCTTCGCTTGGCGCCCTTCTCCAAATACCTCCACAACTTCCATCTAGCCACTCGTATCTTCTCCACCCTGTTCCGGTGAGTCACCCATCGACGGAGTCATCTCTCTCTCTATCTCTCTCTCTGTAGCTCACGCAGTTATATTTGCAAATAAAAGATCTTCTCCTTTTATTCTATTCTTTCTGTACCAATTGGTTTCTTTTATTGCATTGATTGTTATTATTATTGATTAACTGGGAGTTTGTGAAATCGGAAAAAAGATCGAAACTTTTGTGGTAGTTCTCAGTCTATAAAGTGCGTGGCAACTAAGCAAAAATGGGGATCATAGAGAGGATTAAAGAAATCGAAGCAGAGATGGCTCGTACCCAGAAAAATAAAGCCACAGGTTTTGTTTATATTTATTTCATTTTAAAAAAATCTCATGGGGCTCGTATTGTTATTGGTTTTGAGTAATACATATTACAGAGTATCATCTTGGTCAGCTCAAGGCAAAGATAGCAAAGCTAAGGACACAATTATTGGAGCCTCCTAAAGTAATTCAACTTTTCTTTTCTTTTCTTTTTTTAATTTCGGGATTGATAAATCCTGGATGTCTTCGTACCGAATGTTAGCAAATTGTTTTCAACTGATTGTTCTCTTGCTGTCAATAGACTTTGAATTGATATTTGGTTTGTATTTTCACTGTCCCTTTTCATCTTTGTTGACCACTGTTTTACATCTGTCCAGGGCTTCGTTCTAATGGTTTCTGAATCAGGGTTCAAGTGGAGCTGGAGATGGTTTTGAAGTTACAAAATTTGGCCATGGACGTGTTGCACTTATTGGATTTCCCAGGTCTGCTGCCTTTTTATTATTTTTAAAATTTGTGCACATATGTCGAAAGAATTAAAGAGAAAACTGTTCTGCTGTATCCTTAAATCTGCTGCCCGCTCTCATTTCCATATGCATGCTTGTAAGCAAACTCAAAAGTGCGATATATGTATGTAGGTTTGCACATTTTCACTTAAGTATAACCTAGACATGTTTACATGTACATATGACAATGCCAGAAAGTGAAGTTGTCCTATTGTGGTTGCAGTGTGGGGAAGTCGACACTTTTAACAATGTTGACAGGCACACATTCAGAAGCTGCATCATATGAGTTCACAACACTTACCTGTATTCCTGGGATTATACATTATAATGATACCAAAATTCAGCTGCTTGACCTTCCTGGGATTATTGAAGGTGCTTCTGAAGGCAAGGGACGTGGGAGACAGGTAAAAGAAGGACCTGCTTATTTTTCTCCTTTCATAGGTTGCAAACATATGTCTATGTGACTGTTGATGAAGGTGAGATGCCATGTAAGTTCAAAAAAGAAAATAATAATAATAAATAGATTGTCTTCATAGAGTGCTTTGGTGATCATTTGTTTGAATTTGGTTCTCTTATATCTTTTCTTGTTTGGGTACATTGAAATAAGAAAACTTTGAATAGATTGTGTTTTTCCCCGCAGGTTATTGCTGTTTCCAAGTCTTCAGACATAGTGTTGATGGTTCTTGATGCCTCAAAAGTAAGTGTCTGCCTTTTCAGTGTTTTGGCTGTTGATCCCACTGATGAGTGGATATATATTGTTCACTTCTTTTAACTGGAAAAACACTTTTTGAGTATTTAATCTGTTTGCTAAATGGTGCAGAGTGAGGGTCATCGACAGATATTAACAAAGGAACTAGAAGCGGTGGGTTTGCGCTTAAACAAGAAACCACCTCGAGTGAGTTTACATGTTTAGTTTTAATTTAAATTATCTATAACTTACCTAAATGGTTACCTTGGCTTGTTAATATATGAAATAACTTGAAAGTCATAGTGAAAATGATGTATACACCTTTTTCTCTGTAAGTGGCGTTGGTGCCTCCACTAGTTTGTTTTACTTGTCTGTGTTTTGGCATAATTAGGAAACCTCCTCTAGGTCAAACTTTGCATGATGTCAAACTATATTTTGAGTTAGGTATGATTTTGTGTGGCAGAGGTCAAACAGGTGCTTATTTTCTTTTAGTAGCTCTTAGGATTTATGGATCTTGATTTGTTTAATTTTGGATTTGCATTTCTTTTTCTCTGCCAGATTTATTTCAAGAAGAAAAAAACAGGGGGCATCTCTTTCAACAGCACTCTGCCTCTAACACATGTAGACGAGAAGCTTTGTTATCAGATTCTACACGAATACAAAATTCACAATGCAGAGGTACTTTCTACATTTCGCATATGACATTTATAGTTTTTCTCTTCCCACAGTTAACAAAGTCATAGGATACATGTTTTTGGTTTGATAGTTGATTAGACTTAGCAATTGTTTGGTACAGAACAGCTTTTACTGATAAGTATAGTGGAAGTAAAGAGACTTAAATGGGCGACTGGGAGTTACTATTTTGTTCATTTGCCCATTCCTTTACTTTTTTCTGCTTGTGTTAACCACAAATTAGTGCTTTCCTTATAGGTGACAAACACTCGTGTTAACCACTTTTGATAATAAAGGAATTAATGACTTCAATTGCCTGCAATACAGAATGATTGTTTCTTTAACGCTATAAATGATAATGAAAACTTAAAAAAAATGATTTCCTCTTGAGCTGAATGTTTTTCTTTGCTGCCTGTTTATGTTTAATCTTTGACTTGGGTGTTTTCTGGTGGTATGCTTTAGAGCCTGTTTGGCCTTCTACTTTTCTAGCTTTTATTGCTTTATTTTAATACAAAGCAATTAAAAGTACCAAAAAAAATGTTTGGTAAGGATTTTAAAATTCAGTTGTTTAACTATTGAGGGTGGAAGGTGATTTTTATTAAAACAGGTTTAAAAGTATATTGGAAGGTGATTTTTATTAAAACAGGTTTAAAAGTATATTAGTTTTTACTTCAAAAAATATGTGAAGTGATGCCTTTTGAGATAGAAGGTTGTTTATTTTATTTGAAAGACAAAAATAACATTAAAGAAGCTTAAAAAAAATACCAATGTTGTATATTTTACCTTAATATATAATTTTTATGCTAGTGTTTAAAAAATATTATACGATTTTTTTACTCATATGACTCATGACTTGATTTTAAGAAAGAGAGTATTTTCATGTTTTTAAATAATTTATTTTAATTTCTTTGATAAAAACTTAAAATTATGTACTTAATAGCAATTTAGTTAAAACAATAACAGATTACAATACAGTTAAGTGATTTTACACACAACACAACCCATCATTTCATTATCAGATAGTTTAATGTGCTTAATTTTATAGCACAACACAGCGGAGGCCAAACAGGCTCATAGACATGCTTCCTCATGCTTAGTCATCACTTGTTT